GGTCGTCAAGGACGGCAGGGCCACCTTCGTCAAGGGCAAGGAGAGCAGCAAGGAGGCGTCGGCGCGCGTGCAGGACATCCTCGCATCTCCCCGCAATCTCCCCGCATCTCCCCGCATCTCCCCGCATCTCCCCGCATCTCCCCGCAATCTCCCCGCATCTCCCGGCATCTTCCCGCGTGCAGGACATCCTCGCAAAGGGGCGCACCAAGGGCAACACCGACAAGGACGCAGACGCGGCGGCGGAGAAGGCGCGCGCGCTGGCCGGCCCGGCCCCGGTGGCGGTGGATGGTGGCGGGCGGCGGTGGAGGATGGTGGCGGTGGCATGGCGGGTGGTGGCGGTGGCATGGCGGGTGGCGTTGGGGGTGGCGGTGGGGCGGTGGCGGTGGGGCGGTGGCGGCGTGGATGCGATGCGCGCGTTTCGTCAAGTTTCGTCCCACGGCCCCTTGGCTCACGCCTCGCAGGCGGACGCGGATGCGATGGAGAAGGCGATGCAGGAGAGCCTGAGAGAGAGGGTGAAGCAGCTCGAGGCGGAGAACCAGCGGCTCGCTCCGGGCTATGGCAACTCGGCGCCGCCTTCAGGCCACCCGCGCCCCGCGGGGAGAGAGTCGAGGTGGGGGAGACTCCGCACCCCGCCGTCCGCGACCGAGCCCTCCGCCCCGCCTCAGACCTACCGACGGAGCCTCCGCCCTCGCTGGCCCTCCTCAATCGCCAGGGCCCGCCGCCTCGCCCTCCGCCCTACGACGACCCGCCGCCGCCGCCCTTCCCCGCAAGCCGCTCCGGGACGGCCGCCGCTGCCATCTTCGACGACCCGCCGCCGCCGCCCTTCCCCGCCGGCGGCGCGCCGCCGCCGCCGCCGCCGTCGTTCGAGGCGGCCATGAAGATGGACGTGGATGGGCTGGTGAGCCGCCGGCTGGGAGAGACCTCCCCGGCGGCAGCGCGCCCTGTGGCTCCGGGGGGCAGGTGCCTCCCCCCCCCCCCCCCCGCAGGTTGCCCAGCTAGAGCAGCTTGGCTTCCCGCGCGACAAGGCGCGCAAGGCGCTCGAGGCGACCGGCTACGACCCGCAGGCGGCCGCCGATATGCTCTTCGGAGGCTGACCGGCCGGCGGAGGCGAGGCGAGGGCAGCCGCCCCCGCTGGCGCGCTGCTCTCTCGAGCTGCTCTCGCCCTCTGGCGCGTGCCAGGCGCCGGCTCCGGGAGGCGGCACTCCGGCTGCGACATCAACAGTTCACAGACCCCCGATTCAGACACAGGTGGGCTGGCACTGGGGCGCGCTTGTGTCCTTCTGCTAAGTTGGTCTCTCAACACAAAATACCCATTTGTGCTAGTCTGGGTCTGCGTCATCTTGTGTGCGTGTGCGCAGCCCCACCCGCCTGCGTGTGTCGTGTGTGTTCTTGGGTGCATCGCGCGCGAGTAGTTCGCAGCATATACTTTAAACAACTGTCTGAGAGGCGACACACACGTGCCCTGTTGCTGTATCAGCGGAGGGAGACGCACTCAGACAAGGCTCAAACCGCTGACGTACTTGGGCGGGCTGCTGCAATGGAGAGAAGGGGTTGCGGATCTCACTGGGCCTTTTGCGACTTCTTCTTCTTCTCCTTATTTTTCTCTTTCTTTGGTTTGGCCGGCTCCTCCTCCTCCTCCTCCTCGCTGTCGTATGGTATCCACGAGACTGGGTTTCGATTCCACCACGGCCAGTCGGGCAGGCAGATGACGGCGGAGATACCGCCGCCTGCCGAGAGGAACTGGAAGGTGACGCGGAAGTCCTGCTTCATGTACCCGACGGCGAATCCAGCGAGGCCAAAGAGCACGACCAGGACCTGAAAGAAGCGCTCGCACCAGAACTGGCCCTTAAAGTCCTGCGAGCGCGCGGGGGCGGTGCGTTGGAGGCGGCACGGACACGACGCTGCCGAGAAGTTTGCCGCGCACCATGCTACGCGCGAGCAGCGCACTGAGCTCAGGCGCTGCGGCGTGGCGGCCGAGGCAGGGTCGAGAAGAATTCAACGAAAAACTCCCTCGCACGTGTGGGCGGCAGCTGTCTGTTTACAGGCGCTGGCCGCCCGCGCGCGCGCCGGACCGGCTCCGGCACGTCAGGCGGGCGGCGCGCGTCCACACGCGCGTCGCGCAAAAGGCGAGCGCTCGCCGCCGCTACGGCGGCGGCGGCGGCCGACGGCCGACGGCCGACGGCCGACGGCCGACGGCCGACGGCAGACGGCAGACGGCAGACGGCAGACGGCAGACGGCAGACGGCCTAGGGCTCGGCTGGGCGCGCACGCGCACGCGCGCGCGTCGCGCGCCACGCGTCGCTCCGCGAGGGCGCGCGCCAACCGCGATTCGAACCGGGGCCAAAAGGCGCCTGGAGCGACCGCGGTCCGGTCGCGCCACCGCGGCTGCGGGGCTGATAGAGCAGGCCGGCTGCGGCTCCTAATGTACCTCCACTTTTGGGTGGCGGTCGCGCGCTGCCGACGGCGCTCGCCGGCGCTACGGCGCTCGCGGCGCGCTCGTGGCGTTCAGGGCGGCTCCACACGCACACACACACACACACACACACACACACACACACACACACACACACACACACACACACACACACACACACACACACACACACACACACACACACACACACACATGCACAGACACACAGCCCCTTCCCCTCCCCCCTCAAGGGCGAGGACACGCACAGGCCGCACCTCTAGTGAGGCCCGCATAGTATGTGGGAGACTCGTGCCGCCGCCCCTGCCACCCCTGTGTCAGTGTGCATGTGCGAGAGACTGCCAGCGACAAGCTGGAGGCAGGTCGCTAGACTGAGATGAGACCGCCAGTGGATGTGGGAGTCCACCGCGCACCGCGCTGCGAGCCTGTCGTGTCCCTTGTCAGGAGCAGGAGAGCCCCACCTGTCCCCCTGATCGTCCTTCCAAAATCCTGCTCGTGCAGGTGGGGACCTTGTCCTCGTCCCATCCCTCGTTTGGCGTGTCTGTTTTCTTTCTTTCTTTCTTTTCCCTCGCACAACACTGGGCACGGGACTGGCGCGCGCAGTGGCACTAACACAGGTACACCGAAAAGAACTCTCTCGCACAGCACACAGGTTCGACACAGGCAGCGTCGAGAAGAATTTTAGTACTCGTACTACTAAACCGGGGAGCTTCTTCAGTCTGCGGCCAGGGCGCGCTGCACCGGGCCAACCTGCGGCCGTCGCTACGAGCGGCGGGGCTCAACGCGGGGCAGCGCGCCGACGACGTCGAATGCGCCGCCGTGGCATCGCGGCGCCGACGACCAGGCTCAGAGGATGACCCCGGGTAAGTGTTCCCGTGCCTCGACAACTGCCGCTGGTAGGCGCGCCGCGCCGAACCATGGCGGGCGCGCCGCGGCCGCGCGCAACCTTCGTCACAATGCCAACCGCGCGCGGCCGTCGACCAGCAAGCACACGCCTCGACTCGGACACAGTGTTCCGGGGGCAAGGGAGAGGGGCTGGCTCCTAGCCCGAGAGGGGAGCTTCCGAGACCCACTACAAGACCACGCACGCATCATCCCGCGGCCTGGCGGTCGGCGGGATTGCAACCAGTCTTCGCCGCGTGCCGCCTGTCGTTCGCTCGGGCGCCTTGGGCGTCGGGGTGGCGAGCAGGGGACGCGGCTCTGAGCGCCCAGCGACGCGTGCCGGATGGAGTCCGGCCGCGGGTGACTAGGGAAGTTCGCTCAGGATGTGTGGCAGTCAGTTTGGCTGAGTGTCTTGTCTTGTGGTTCTGTGTGTCGCTCCTGTGTGACCGTCATCGCCCGTCCTGCGTCCACCCATACCGCGTTGGTGTCCCAGTCGTTGGTCGGACTGTGTTTCGCCTTCCCATCAATCAATCAATCGGGAGCTAAAAGAAAGAAAGAAAACAGACAACCCAAGGGAGGGATGGATGGGAGGACGGCACGCCGCCACCACACAGGGAGTTTAAGGAGAGGGGTGTGGTGCGCTAGCCGTCGCCCACCCTTGGGCGTCTGCTTAATAAATAAATAAATAAATAAAACAGACATCCCAAGCTAGGGCTGGGTCGAGGACAGACACGTCCCCACCTTTGCAGGATTTTGCAAAAGCGAGGGGGGAGGGCGTCTGCTTCTTAAGAAGTGTCGTGGTCGTTAAATTCTTCTTCGACAAAACCTGGCGGCGGGCGCTTGGCCGTCCGCCGGCGCCGGCAACAACCACATGTGGACCTGGGCCATCGCCGCCGCCTTTGCCGCCGCCGAAGCCGACCCCGAGCGCTTGCCTACGAGGCAGCTAGCTGTGGGCATAGAGGCCGGTGACCCCGCGTCCGTGCGGCAGCTCGTCACGCGGCTGGTCTGGCTCGAAGATGCGGTGCAAGCTCTGCAGAGCGAGCTTGCAGAATCGCGTGCGTCGCAGCCCAAAGCGACTTGCTCTGGCAGTCCAGACGCTGCTGACGACAAGTGTAACGAAATGAAGGCGGCTGGCGAGGCGTGCGCCGTCGCAAAGCGTGCCGGTTGTGCCCTCACGTCAATTCGGAAGGCAGGATACACAGCAACCGAAGCGCGCGCGGTGGGATTCACCCTTGCAGAAATGGAGGATGCGGGCTACATTGAGGGCCTTATGGCAGCGGGATACACAGCACAGGAGGCGAAGGAGGCTGGGTATTCAAGTGGCGAGGCGAAGATTGCTGGCTTTGTCAACGGGTTGCAGTCGGCTGGGTATCAACTGCTCGACGTCAAGGCGGCGGGCTACACGCTGGAGGAGATTAGGACGGCCGGCTACTCGTGCAGCGATGCCAAAGAAGCTGGCTACACTCTGCAGGAGATCAAAGCGGCCGGCTACTCGTGCAGCGACGCCAAAACGGCGGGCTATACGCTTCAGGCGATCAAGGCGGCGGGCTACACGCTTCAGGAGATCAGTACGGCCCGCTACTCATGCTCCGACGTCAAGGCGGCGGGATACACGCTGGAGGAGATCAAGACAGCGGGCTACAGCCTGGCGAAGATCAGGACGGCCGGCTACTCGTGCTCCGACGTCAAGGCGGCGGGCTATAGCCTGGCGGAGATCAGTACGGCCGGCTACTCGTGCTCCGACGTCAAGGCGGCGGGATACACGCTGGAGGAGATCAAGACAGCGGGCTACAGCCTGGCGAAGATCAGGACGGCCGGCTACTCGTGCTCCGACGTCAAGGCGGCGGGCTATAGCCTGGCGGAGATCAGGACGGCCGGCTACTCGTGCTCCGACGTCAAGGCGGCGGGATACACGCTGGAGGAGATCAGGACGGCCGGCTACTCGTGGGGCGACGTGAAGGCGGTGGGCTACTCTGTGAGCGACGCCAAAGAAGTTGGCTACACTCTGCAGGAGTTCAGGACGGCCGGCTACTCGTGCGGCGACGCCAAGGCGGCGGGATACACGCTGGAGGAGAGCAGGACGGCTGGCTACTCGTGCTCCGATGCCAAGGCGGCGGGTTGCACGCTGCCAGAGACCACGGCAGCGGGCTACACGTGCAAGGAGGCCGGCTATACGCTACAGGCTGCGGGCTACGTGGAGGACCTCAAGGCGGCGGGCTACTCTGCAAGCGAGGTGAAGGCGGCAGGCTATACTACGCTACGGGAGATGAAGGCAGCAGGCTTCACGCCCTTCCAATGCCACCAAGCGGGATTCGGCCGTGCTGAGCTGAAGGATGCCGGTTGGTACTATGCTGCGTACGACGATTGGGAGCGTCCCCTACGTAAGGGTTTCCTCCCTGCGTATCATTGGGACTCCCCAAGGCTTCTGTAGGTAGTGCGAGCGCGTTATTTTTTTTCATTAGTGGTAACCAATAAGGACATGGACGACGAGGCAGATCAACCGGCCGCCACGTGCTGCTCGTGGCCGTGGTGTATTCGCGCACAAGGCGCAAAGGCCAGCAAGGCAACCGCACTAGCGCAGCAACGGTGGCTGGCTGGCGATGCCGACTGGAAAAATGCCGAGGAGTCGTCCACCTTTGCGCGGAACTGCGACCTCAGTCAGACACACCTGGTCAAGGCGGCCGATGCAAAGTGGACCTCCTCCTCCCACTGCTTTCAGTGCGCTCTCAACACCGTGCATGAGTGCGACGATTTTGGCGACGACATACACACCTTCCCAGACATTCGCAGGAAGTGGCTGTCTGCTCAAGTGAGCGGGAGCGTTCACTATCCGCGCGTCCGCTACATTGTGGACTATCCGCCAAACACGCCGCGACTGCCCTACCATGACCACCCCGGCGGCGAGGAGTACATCGTCTTTACCGGCCGCTTCGCGGACACAAACTTTGCGCAGGCCTCCGCCGCCGTGCCGCCACCGCCTCGACCGCCATCCTCAGCCGGCGCCCACCCCGCCGCAGGTAGAGGCACCCGCGCTGGTGCGCTACCCCATCGGCACGCACCACGCGGCGATGACTCAGCCCTTCGAAGGGCGCACCGAGATCCTCACCTGGTGGGGCTTGATGCAAGCCACCTCCGCCACCGAGTCTGCGCAGCACGTGGCGCTCTGCCCACGCCTCCTCGTTCCACGGCAGCGCGAGGCCAGCTGGATCGACGGGCCACGGCGTGGGTGGGCCATCAGCAAGGACGGGCTCGAGACGCGGATCGAGCGCTGGGCACCACACGCGGAGAAGGCGCGCCTCCCAACGCCGAAGGCAGGGTGCGATCTAGCCGGTCAACACCTGCCTGTGTGTCCAGGCGCTTTTGTTCCGGAGACCTATCAAGGAGATCTACCTGCTGCGCGGGTCGCTGTCGGCGGCGCAGCGCGTGGAGGGTGCCACGGCGGGCGAGGCGTTGGGTCTATTGGCGGAGGGAGATTGGATCTGCTTTGCGCACGAGGTCTCGCAGGTCCCCCACAGCCGCCGCCCATACCCTCGCCAAGGCTGTGAGGGCGTCTGTTCACACGCTTGCCATAATGTAGGTGGATGCCGCCGCCGGGCCCGACGGCGCGACGTTGCTCGTCAAGGAGCTGCTGCCCTACGACAGCTGGCGGCGGCACGTGCTGCAGGACGTCAGGCAATCCTGGCACAGCTGGTCGGGTGCGACAGGCCGCGCGTCTGGCCGTGGCCACATGCCCGCTGCCTCCCTCGTCGAGGCGAGCACGTCGCCGCAGAGCCACCTTCGCTTCTCACGATCGCGATCGACCTCCGCTGTGGAGGAGGGGGGGAGTGTTGCGCCCGGCAGTAGCCAGTAGCATCGCTTGCGCGCGATCATGAGACCCATCACTATAATAGTCGTACGCGGGTTGCGGCCTCGACCGGCAGGTAGTGCCGCGCCGAGTCGAGCAACAGCCCGCGCCACCGGAAGCGAGGCGCGTCGCTGATGGCGAGCCGCGACGCGTTGATGACCGCCGAGCATTTGCCGTATCTACTCAAAAAAAGTGACGTGAGCGGCGGAGGAAGGGCGCGGAGCGGAGGTGCGCCCTTACGCTACAGGCGTGGCCCCTCACGGCGGGCGGCGGCGGCTCCCCGCGGGCGGCGTTTGGAGGCGCTTACCATGACGACAAGAGGCTCCGTGTCGAGCTGCCAAAAAAAACGTGTGCTCCAAGTCGTCCATATATATCCCTCCCTTGCGCCTTGGGTTGTCTGTTTTCTTTCTTTATTTCTCCAAGTGCGGTCGCATTGTGCAGCTAGCAGCGAGAAGATCTATTCCCCACAGACGCTCCTCCTGGTCAATCCTCCGCCTTGGTGCGTCTTAGCGGCGAGTCGGGCTGCTCTTGCTGCTGCAGCACCCCGGCCGCCTTCTCGGCCAATCTGGCGGCCTCGTCAAAGTCATCCGCGCGCATCTCAAAGAGGCTCATCTCGTCCAACGAGTCGGCCCGGCCGCGGCCCGCTATGGGTGGTGTCGCGCTCGGGGCGACGGCGGCAGCGGCGGCAGTGGCGGCGGCGGCGGCGGCAGCGTGGCGGAGGCGCGTGCTCTGTACGCTGATCGCGCCGGCGATTCGGTTCTCGACGGATCGCGCGTTGCCGCACGGCACCTCGGTCGCAATCGGCGCGACGAGGCGCGCGAGCGCGGAGGCCGCGTGCTTGTCGGCGAGCCGGAAGCGCGAGGCCCGCAGCTTGATCTCCGCAATCTCGCCCAGCTCGCTCGGCGTGTAGTCCGGGAAGGCGAACTTGTACGGGAAGCGGCTCGCGAGGCCAGCGTTCGCGTCGAAGAGCTCCGCCATCGCTCGGTCGTAGCCCGCGAGGACGACGACGAGGTCGTCGCGGTGGGCGTAGCACATGTCGACCAGCACGTTGATTGCCTCGCGCCCGAGCTCAATCTCGCCCTGCAGCAGCGAGTACGCCTCGTCGATCACGAGCACGCCGCCGAGCGCGCTCTCGACGACGGCGCGCGTGTTGCGTGCGACGTGGTTCGAGTAGCGGCCGAGGAGGTCGTCCTTCTTGGCGACGACGAGGTGGCCACGACGCAGCACGCCAAGCTCGTTGAGCACGCCCGCGATGAGCTGCGCGACCGCGGTCTTGCCCGTGCCCGGATTGCCCAGGAAGACCATGTGCATAGACGAGCGCTGCGACACGAACTCCGGCATTGCCGCACAGCGGCGCTGGTCCATCTCGAGCGTGTCGAGCAGCGTGTAGAGGTGCTCCTTGATGCTCTGCAGGCCCACCATCGTGCTCAGGCGCGACTCGAGCACCGACCGAGCGTTTGCAAAGCTCTGGCGCTCGCGAGCGCGTGCAATGTCGCCGCCACCAAAGCCGAGAGCAATCGCTTTGAGGCCACGCTGTGATGAGCGGCCAACGCGGCGAATATCAAACAGCGGTTGCCGCGGCGCGCGCAGCACGTGGCGTCGACGACGCTCGCGGATGCGCCGCAAGCTGTGCACCACGCTCCGAGGCGCCGAGCGACACCTCGTAATGAGGTTGGTGTTGGCATAGATGTGGATTGAGAGGAGCACCGCCATCAGCGCGAGCATGATTGCAGACCACGTCTGCGGATCCGTCCACCAGGTGGAGCCGTCGTTGCTCGGACCAGGCAGGTAGCTCCACGTGGTCGACTCACGCCGTTGTGTCCAGCCGTCCTTGAGCTTAGCTTTGAGCTTGCTGTACCAGCGTTCGACCGCGAACTCCTCGCCTGGCAGCATAAAAGCTGGACGGATATAGATCTAGTGTCAGGAAGATCGGAGCACGTCGCCGGCGCGAAACTCCCTCGCCCACAGAGAGAGAGAGAGAGAGAGCTCGCCCACACTTGTAAGAAGAAGAAAATCTTGGCGCACAGGTACACCAAAACGAATTTTAGTAACAAATCCTTTGGCAATCTCTATTTACTCAGTCACACCAACAGTCAGAGTGGGACAGACACACACACACACACACAATCACAGTCAGACACGCAACACTGCGAGTTCAGAGTTCATTTTTGGAAGCTCTCGAGATGAGCGTGGCTGACTATGACAAACGCGACACCGGCTCGAGCACCCCGTGGTTATTCGCGCGCGCGATGGCAGCTGCAGGCGCGCTGTGACGTCGCACCGCCCAAAGGTACATACACACGGACGGGTCACGGCGCGCGCGCGGGCTGCCGCTTGCCACCCTTGAGGCCCTTGAGGCGGATCCACGAGCCGTTCTCTTTGCACATGCCCCAGCTCTTGTGTAGAACTCGGCCGAGCGCGCACGCCGAGCGCGGTACGTACGAGAGAGAGGCCATCGGCGCACGCCGAGTACCACGTACCAGCCACGTCCGTGGTCGAGTGCAGCCGGGCCAGCACGCGCGCAAACGTCGAGCCCGCCCAGCCGACAAAGGAGTCGGCGCCTCGGCAGACGGTGACCGGAATCGCAGTATCCGGCTGCTGGACTGCGCGACGGAGGCCAGGGTGGCAGAGAGAGAGAGAGAGAGAGAGAGAGAGAGAGAGAGAGAGAGAGAGAGAGAGAGAGAGAGAGAGAGAGAGAGAGAGAGAGATTTTAGAAACCCAACAAGAAATCACGACTACTCAAGAGAGAGTGGGATCGGGGCGAACGTATCGGCACCGCTCCGCGCTCAGAGCGAACCTACACTCTACAGTCCCACAACATACCTAACAGCAAAGGGCTCCCCCGGGGCTCCCCGCCCGGGGGGGCTGAGACGCCATGATACCTCGAGAGAGGCCTTGGCACGTCGCACGTCCGTCGCCGGACTCCGTAGCTCAACCGACGACCCTCGTGCCTCGGGATCGACGGCAAATCGTCATCATGCTGCTGACACAGAGGCGGCTCTGCTGGCGCGCGCTGGCTCGAGGCCACAAGGTGCGGCATCTCAGCAGCGAGGCCGCTTGGCACGTGCAGTCGCGGCTGGCGCAGGCGGGTTCCGAGATAGACCACGCGCACGGATCTCTCTCGCCACCGCTGCACCTGAGCACGACTTTTGAGCGCGACGCGGACGGCGGCTACGAACGCGGCTACTTCTACTCCCGCAGCGACAACCCGACAAGATCGCTGCTGGAACGCACCGTCGCGGGGCTTGAGGGCGGATCTGACGCCGTCTCCTTTGCTTCGGGCATGGCGTCGATCAATGCAATATTCCACGCGCTGCTGGAGCCGGGCTCGCACGTCGTGCTCGCAAACGACGTCTTCCATGGCACGGCGACCTTGCTCTCGGGTTCGTATGCTCGCTGGGGCTGCACCTTTGAACGCGTAGACATGAGTGACACCAGCGCAGTGCAGGCCGCCATCGACGGAGGCGCGTCCCTGGTGTGGTGCGAGACGCCCAGCAACCCAATGTGCAAGCTCACGAATGTTCACGACATTGCACGGCGTGCGAGGGCAGCCGGTGTGCCCTCCGTCGTGGACGCAACTTGGTGCACCCCGGCGTTGTTGCAGCCTCTCGCTCTCGGGGCAGACCTCGTGATGCACTCGAGCACAAAGTACCTCGGCGGCCACTCGGATCTTTTGGGAGGAATTGTCGTTGGTGGAGAGAACTCAGCGCCCTTGCTCGCCGCGATCAGATCCGAACAGCGGAATGCGGGTGCGGTGCCATCGCCGTTCGACTGTTGGCTGCTGCTTCGCGGGCTCCGCTCTCTGTCTGCACGACTCAACTTGCACTGCTCCAACGCCCTGGCAGTTGCAAAGATGCTTGAGGAGCACTCGGCGGTCTCCGCTGTCCACTATCCTGGGCTGCCGTCACATCCGCAGCACGAGCTCGCCAAGGCCCAGATGCGCAGCGGCTACGGAGGCATGCTCTCATTTGAGCTACACGGCGGTGAGGAGGCAGCGGTGGCCGTTGCCGCGCGTACAAAGCTTTGGAGGCGGGCTACGAGCTTGGGCGGACCGGAGTCTCTGATCCAGCACAACGCTTCCTTTGAGGCCCTTTGGACCACACCGACAAGTCCTCCAGGCCTCCTTCGGCTCTCGGTTGGCTTGGAAAACGTGGAGGACCTGCTGCGGGATCTGCAAAGTGCGCTCGACGAAGGGCTCAAGGAGGTGTTTGAATCTTCTAGCTAGGTATTGTCGTTCCTTTCTATCGCGCACAACACTGGAAGTGTGTCTTTTTGTCTTAGAGCAAGGAGATAAAAAGAAGGCCCCGTCCGGCCCTCGCAGCCTCAGTCCTCCACGCCCTCTCCGCTCTCCTCTGTGTTGTCTTGTGGGGGGTGGGGGATCTCGTTCTTTCACACGCTCTCTCTGATGACCGCACTCCAATATCTATAGAAATCTCTAGAGATAGATATATATATAGTGTCTCGCGTTCGCGTATTCGAGATCGCCGGCGCGCGCGCGCGCGCGCGCGCGCGCGCTATTGGAGTGATGTTGGTGTGTGGCCCTGAAGTGCCCCTCCCCAGCACTGATGGCGGGATGACTCGCTG